GTATAATATTTACCCACCCAAATATCCCGGCGAGATACAAGACTGTGAGGAGATATAATACTACAGCACTGATGTCTTAGCAATGAAGGAAGAACAAGTCTTTTCATAGAAATTCCTCAACAATTAGAATGGTCCCAGAATTTTTTTATATATGACTTTATTTACCACATGTGGATACCACTAGCAAAAACTTGAACCCAAACCAGCAACACAACTCCTCTGCTTCTCCTCCAATGACCTTTCAGTGATATATGGCTGGTCCTGACAGCCCTATTTATATATTACTAGAGGGGATGGAGAAAACATGCTTACTTAACACAATTTTGCAATGTGCATTAGAAATCTGTCTTCTTCAGGTCAAATCAGGGGTGCACCGTGACTGAACTTCAGTGAAGTGATGGTGTTTTACATCCAAAAAATAACCTCGGGAATTTGTAGATATTTTAACCACATAAGTCTTAATTTGCTCTCCAAATTCCATTACCTTCGCAATATAATAGGCATGCAATTTCAGCCCAACAAATGGGCAACTTTGAACTTAGACAGGTTGAAATTTTGAGGGTTTTTTCATTATAATTTTCAGTTGTTTATGTTTAGTGGAGTAAAACATGGTGCCAGTCTATACTGACGGTTGTCTGGTTGCTAAGCAAAGGATATTAGAAAAAGGGTCATTCCTTGTTGCTAAGCCAAAAATGTCATAAAATGTCATTTCCTGCTGCTTTGTTGGTGATAGTCTGCTGGCAATTCTGCAAATCTTAGTTGAAAATGAAATGGAGCGAATATCATACTCCGATTAAAAAAAAAATATTTTGACAAGTATGGAGGGGTAAGGTTTATCTGCAGTTTTACCTTAATTTGGTTTCTGTTCATGAAATATCAATCAAAGCTGTAACCAAGTTGGTTGCTCTCATTCTCAATTACACACAGAGATAAACAAGGCACAGTAAAGTGAGTTGTCACAGAACTTATTAAAATCAAAACACAAAATAATCAAATGTAGCCTTCCCAGTGTTTTATTCCAATAATCACAAAGCACTATTGTTCAAAGTGACAATAAATCTGTCACTGGTTTCTTTGGGCACTGTTGTGAAGCAACAATCTTATTCAATTTCTTTTTGGGCAACAAAAGGTGGCTTTTTGTGGTCAGTGAACGATCACAATGGTGATATGTCATTTATGTCATCGTATGTCAGCATCAAGCACCATCTTGCCAGAGACAGCATGAATTGTATGCAGTGTTAAGATCCATCTCTCCAACAGTGCATCTCAATCACAACATTAAAAAAGCACTGACTACTGCATCACTGAGACTTTTTCATTTACCCATCACTAATCCTCATGACTTCTCAGTAAACGACTTCTAATTTAATGTTGAATTTTGAGTAATTCTTTGCACACTTGACTAAAGTTTGGGTTCAAACTGTTCAAATTGACTTTGCTTAGGGCTCAATGGCCCACAGAAATTTTTTTGTCATCCTATCAGACTTGGTTGAATTTGAACAGGAATCGTAGATGAAAGGGCAGTGTTTAATAAAATACCATTGTTAACCGATTACAGAACCCTGATGAATTTGAGACACAAACACACTGGAGCATAGGCAGTCCTGGAGCTGCACTGATTGAAGAGTGGGGACCCATTAGGAGAGACAGAGTTAATTCCTAGCTTAAGTTTCATTTAAAAATTCAATTACAGACCCGATGAATTTCAGCATTTTTTTCACTGATGCCATTTACAGGGTACATTATAAAATCATAGATACAATGCAGGAGGAGACCACTGAGTTTGCAACGGATCTCAGAACAATAAATTGCATTTGTATAGCACCTTTTACATTGGGAAGATATTCTAAGGCATTGGACAGTGAAGGGTTTGCATCCAGTTGGGGATTCGAGTCAAGGGGTGGGTGGAGGGCAAAGGGTGGAGTCAAGCAGGTTGGAGGTGGGAGAATGACCAGAGGCATTGTCAAACAAGGAAGGTCTTGAGATAGGCTTTGAAAAAGGCTGGGAGCAGAAAAGCCTAAGGTCCGACCACTGATGACCATCCAGTCCCATTTGCCCTACCTTATCCCATGGCCCTTCAAACCGTTCACTTTCTTGTATCTTATACTCAATCCTCGGATGGGAAGAAGAAGAGGAAAATCTAGCAGGTCAAGAACAATTTATATATGACAGAAATTCAGCTCATGTTCAGTTCACTCCATGGGAAAACAAATTGTGGCTGTGGAATATCAAATACACAGATTATCTTAATTTGACAGAGAAAGCCTGAGGGGAGTAGATAGCAATGATAATCATACTGGTGTCAAAATTACAGTATTCCTCAACACGTCATTCCTTATTTAAAGAACAAGGTTTAAATTATATTCTGAAATATCTCCCTTCCCATCCCGCCAACGTCTGAACAATAATAGCGCCCGAACCAGACTGAAAAGCCCTGGGCACTGAATTTCATCTTTAAGTGGATCATTTTTGAGCGCCAATAAGGAAATGACTAAATCTGAGTTTTGGTGTTACTTTGTGAGTAAGTCAAGAGAGGCCACCTTCAGCACTCACAAACAGCAAAACGGGCCCAAGGAAATCTTTGGGACCAAAGTCGATTCAAAACCTAATCACTGTGCTCAAACCGCAAAGCAGTCGGTAATTCAATATTAATAATAATCCTTGCATTTGATATAGTGCCTTATCACATTTTCGAGACGTCTCAAAGCCCTTCCCAGAATATTATAAAGTGAATTGACTGTACATATTGTTTAGGACCAGAAATTTCAGTGGTATGATATTATTTACCATTGTTGTTAATAATCACATTGCATTACCACATCCCCAACGAGTTTAACAAAAGGGCAATAAGCAGATTGAAGCTCATGGCTTTAATTCTGGCACAGGCGATCAGTGACCGGGACAATAATAGTTAGTGACCCTGTTAACTTTTGTGTCAAGTTTAACACAAGCATTTATTTCCTGCCTCTTCCTTTATCTGTTCAGTCATTTATAGTATTGCAGAAATATTTTACAATATTTATTAAAAAAGCTGTTCGGTCCTAACATTTGCTTGCAGTAAAAATCAATGCGGACTTCCTTCAGATAAGAAACTTAAGCTAATTTCCCCCCCTTGCACCCCCGCCCACACACAGACATTATTTTCCTTTCAAATTTACTTCTCATGATAGATGCCATTCACTAGTGCAACCTGACAATTTGGCTAATCAGAAGTTCGTGTAATGCCTTTACTTCATGATGAGCATTAAAGTAATGCTCTTTTAATGCCTCCTCCTAATGACGTCACACAGTAAATCAACACACAAATTTTTTTTTGCACCTCGTTGATCTGGTGGATTTAATTTAACCACTAAATGCACTTCTTAATAGCAAAATACATCTGCTTTTATCTATTTGGCCAAATCGGCTTCCATCGTCTTTCTTAGCAGGAGAAAAACAATAGTATGTGTGTATAGCATACAGAAGCTCAACTCCAGTACTGTTAATTTACCATCATTATTTCCTTCCAATTTTTTTTAATTATTATTTATTCAGCCATTTAGGCATCCTTCGGATGAAACCTTAACCCGAGGTCCACTCTGCCTGTTCAAGTGGATGTTAAAGATCCCGTGGCAAATTCAAAAAGAGAAGGGAGTTTCTCTCAGTGTCGTGGCCAACAGTGCCCCAAATAAAAATTTATTTCATGACTGTTTGCGGGACATAGCTGTGGTAAACTGGTTGACTCATTTGCCCATAAGAATATACAGTCACTATATTTAACAGTAATCCCTTGAAGAACTTTTGAGGCATCTCAATAATGTGATAAGGCACAATATAGAATGTAAGGATTATCATTTACATCAGTGCAGCTCTGTTAGCAATACTCTCACCTCTGGCTCAGTGGGTATTAGACGTGAGTTTCTCTTAGCCTCACTGAAAAAATATCAGGCCCTTTGTGGTATCAGAATATCCTCATGGGACTATTTTGACTCATGTGAAGTATAAACACTGGCATGGACTAGTTGGGCCAAACGGCCTGTTTCCATGCGGTAGAATTCATATATCTGAAAATGTCTTGGGCAACAATCCTCCAGAATAATTGCTCATTGACTTCATGATTGTTTGTGGGACCTAGACATGGATGGGTATCCCATTGACCTGCAAAACGTACTTGACATTAATTACTGGAAAGCACCTCAGGTGCTATAAAATGTGAATTCTTTGTATCTGCATACACATTTAGAGGCTTGGAGCACAGGCATTTTGCAAAGGGCAAAGTCATGAAAATTCAAGGACACTTCAGAGTTACTCGACTCCCTGCATTATTTAAGATATTTTCTTTTTTCTGTCACAAGGCACCAGTCACAATGCCAGCCATGAAGAAATAATATTGGTCTTGCCTTCATTGTGAATGTCCATTGCTCTCTGATGCTGCAAGGAACCATGCCAGCAGCCCAATTATTTTGGAAATAGTACACTTCAAGCAGAGGTACTAAAGCGTGTAAAATAATCACCATCTATGCTTAATGCAGAACAGTGAATATTGGCACCAACTTCTCTGTACAAATCTAAAATCGGACTCCAAGGAATTCAGACCAGAAAACATATTCAGAATGCTAACAACAGCCTAGCGGCTTTATTCGTAGAACAGAATATCATTCATGGGGCCCGGAGTTTTAGCTGTTATTTCCAACTTGAAGTGAGATTCCAGCAGTGAGTTTCTTCAGCTCTTAGCCTCACTGATAATATCAAGCCCTTTGTGGTGTAAGAATATTCTATTTTGTTGTAAGCAAAAATTTATTGGCTAAACCTTACACTTGAGCCTCATTCCCTATTGAGCCTGATGCATAACCAGGTTCAATAGAAAATTGCGGAAATAATTGCCAAAAATTGCAGGGAAATTTGAGAAAGTTTGCGGAAAAGTGCTGGGAGTTGATTACTGCTACTGAGGGGTACATTTTAATCCAGTGTGTTTACTCTCGGAAGTCACCATCTCCTGCCTCTCGGGGCCGCCACTGAACACAGACACAGAGAGAGACACATACTCACAGGCACTGAGAGAAAGGCACACATATAAATACATATACACAGGAGAGAGACACACCCACCCACAGTCGCACACATCACAAACACACACTCACACAGAGACACACACATACAGAGTAGAGAGAGAGACACACAGACAATATCAACAGCAGGGCCTCGGGGTGAACGAAGCCCATTTCCCGCTCGCGCCGCACTGCGCGTCTGGAGCTCCTCCTCCCACAGTATCGGCGTTGAGTAAACAGCCGGCAGCAACTTGTAGAGGCTCGGAGCCAAGCACACTGGAGTGTTATGGGTTGGTAGCAGAGGGACGATGTAGTGGAGGAGGGTGTTTATAGCAGATACCGTGGAAAAATTGCAGCTGCATTTTTCTATTGGCCCAGCGCGTAGCCTGAACTCTGTATGGGGCTCTATCTCTCAGAATCTGCTATCTGTAAAACATGTAGGTCTTCGTTCGCTGCAGTTCACTGGATTTTGTTTCTTATTGAAACTGATATCTGATCATTATTGATTTTCTTGCGTGTTTAGAGTTTGTTTTGGTTTTGGGGAGCAATGCTTTGACAGCGGTAATATTCGGTGGTACAGGTTTAGAAAAGGATTCTCCAGTATAAGGTTACTGATAAAGGTCTGTAAATTTAGTGATGGTGGGACAATCATACCCACGCACAAACCTTTTTTCTTCATGTGTACAGAATGAAAACCACACAGAAACTGGATGAAAGCATCAAAAGTGCAGTTACAGTTCCACTGCCTCCATGTAAGATTTTTAATTTATCACTAATCAGATTTAGATTACGAGTTTATTTTACTCTGAATTCACACCTATGAATTACTCAATATTAATTACTTATCAACAACAACAACAAAATCAAATTGATAGAGCGCCTTTCATATCGGGAGGACATCCCAAAGCGCTTTAATAATAGTAAATAATAAGAATCCTCACATTTGATATAATACCGTATTACCTTGCCATGGCATCTCATAGGCCTTCAACAACAATAACAACAAAATTACATTTTATAGCGCCTTTCACGTCGGACAGGGTATACTGCACCGCAAAGAGGCATAACTGTATTTGTGGGTGAAATTTATTTCATATCCGAACCTTTTCATTCAAAACAGATTTATACCATCAGAATCCCATAGGTAAAAGAATGATGTGCTAACTCAATATCACTTTGCCTCTTGTTAATTCTGCTTGTAATCAAAGTAATATTATTACATCTAGTTTTCCATTCATTAAGCATTTTACTTGCATTAAACATCTGCCTGGGATGTGACTATAACAACAGAATAACTGCTAATGGCAAATGCCAAGTATTCTTGGATAATGAATGAACTTTGTGCTTAAGAACTGTTGCAATATCATATGCCGGGGTCTGTTGAGATCTGCCATTACTTGGATTAACAATGCAGCAATTCTACCAGTATCTGGTCCATCTGCCAAAACATCTTTCATCCATGTAATTACAATAACCCTGTACTCAAAATGAGCTACTCTGTATACCAGCCAACCTTGTCCACTCAGCCAACAACCCTCACCAGTGTTTACCATTTGCATTGCATTTCATTATTACTTCACTTAACTTCCTTTGACTTTTTCCCTCGCACATTTCAATATGGCTACATGTCATCCAAATGCACGGGTATTCAGATGTTGAAAGCAATCCCGAACAAACTTACATTCTGGTTCCGTTCATATTTGTGTGAGATAAATGTGCATGACCAGGAATGCAAGCTAAAATATAGCTCGTACACAGTACAATTCTTTGATCAGGACAAATGCAGGTTTCTTTTTAAAAACTGCTTCGACTCAGAGCTTTTTCTGGGAGATCAACTCATAAGGCAACCAGCATTCTCGGTGTGTGAGTTCTAAAGGAAACAGCCCAGCTCGTATTGAAACTGTCTTGATTATTCTTAAAGTTGCATTATGGCAGCACCATTTGTTTTCAGGCTGGCTTGATTACAGCTTTCTACACAAGCTCACGTTAAACACTGCCATATCAGGCATCATATTGCCACACGACCGATAGATCTCCTGTGTCATAAACTATTATGGTAGAGATAATGCATTTCATTGACTCGTTGCATTAGAAATTTCACTTTTCTCCCTTCACAAACCTTTCCAGTTTCACTTTCTACCAAGTTAGGCAGGGGGGAACAGTGGGATAAGAGGAGAAAGCAAAGGTCCTAAAAGAGAGCTAGATATGGAATTCAAATGGGCTGATAACTGACAAATGAAGCTTAATACTGATAAATACAGAATCCAAGAATAGGAAACATAAGTACCCCATTATGGGATTGCATTTCCCAAAGGGGGAAGCTGAAAGAAATCAAGGGGTTTTCGTTGACTTGTCGCGCACTATGTCAAGACAATGTGAGGCAGCAATAAACAAGGCAAACAGAATGCGGGGCTATATTGATAAATTGGTTGGGTTTAGATCCACAGGTGTCATCCTCGGGCTGTACAGTGCTCTGGTCAGACCACACCTTGAAAACCTCAGACAATTCTGGTCACCGCAACAAACAGTGGCTGCCCAGACCTGATACGGGGTACAAAGGAGAGCAACAAGGGTTATCTCCAATGTTGGAGGAATGAGCAATGAGCAACAATTAGACAAGACTCTTCAGTTTTGAGAGAAGATAAAAAAAACCTCATAGACGTGTACAAGATTTTAAATGGGTTTCAAAAGTAAGCACAGATTGATATTTCAGGATGCATCAAGACAGTGGAACAAAAAGATGTAAAGTTCAGAAGTATAAAGGGCAATTGCAGGACAGATACCAGGAAGTTTTTCTTTAAGCAGAGGGTAAACAACAATGGAACAGATTGCTAGGAAAGGTGTTCGAGGCCAGGAAACTGGACTCTATTGAAAATCAGCTTGATGCAATGATGGGGGGAGTGGTGAGGGGGGGGGGTGACAGGGGGAGCGATAGGGTGAGTGTTCTGGAGGGCTGAGATCAGATGGGTTGAAAAGCCTTCTTCCAACCAGAACAATCTTATGATATAGGAGGACAATAAAGGCTAAATTGCGATGATGATAATAGGATTTGCTAATACCGCCACCATCTTGTCCTCGGGAAGTATCTCTTGCTTTAATAAAAAAGGATAATGAATGACTCACCAGGGTGTGCTATAAATATTTTAAAAAAGTTCAGTAACCCAACAAATATTAATTAGCAGACCTGAGAATATATAAGCAGCATTACGTTAGGCATGCACTAATGTTTACAGCAGGTAAGGTTTGTTACTTTATCTGAAAACTGTGAAGCATACTATCATGGCATTGTTTTTCATTTATAACTCGTGTAAATTTTTAAAAACATTGTCTGAATTAACATCACAAAAACTTAGAAGAATATACCATTTGCTTTCCATTCAATTCTTTGTCGTACAGCAGACTTGACTGCTATTGTGGAACTCAGAGTTTAAACTAATTTGTTCAAACAAGCATTCACCAAAAAAACTAATTTACTGTCGAGTCATTGTTCTTTCACTGAGCATAATTTTCCATTCAAGCTACAGTGCAATACCTCTCGAATGTCATAAACCCCCATTGTGGTTAATGGTGCCAGTGTTCTGTTTGTGCAATCAATATATATGTGTGACTTAACTAGTCTATGCATGAAACCTACTAAATCCTTATTTTTTTAAATAAAAGCAAGGCAGCAGACCAATAACATTTAAATTGAATGCAATCACACCATCAACCTGGAGATTGGCATGTTTACAGCTGACACGGGAGAAATTCCAAATTTCTTTCATATTGCAGCTGCCCTCAACTATACAGAGCAGAACCAACGATTGCTCTACCGACATGGGAGATGAGTGTGTGGTACAGTGGTGGGGGAAGGACACCACAAGATTACAAAATTGATTTGGATGAAGAGGGTTCTTTGGTCTTTTATTTAAAAAGTGCATCATAATATGTTGCCTTTATTCTTCTAGATGTTCATGCAGTTTTACTCTAAGCCAGCACAGTGATTATACCACTGCTAAAAATCTGCAAATTAAAGAAATCAACAAACATTTGTTGTGAATTGCAAGTCCTGGGCAGATACCAAGAAGTGTTTCTTTACACAGAGCATCGTGATGAACTGAAACAAATCAACAGGAAGAGTGGTTGATGTCAGTACACTGAATATATTTAAGAAACAGCTTGAAGCTGCAATGGGGAGATGTTTGTGTTGGTATTGTGCAAAGATGGGATCAAACAGAACAAAGGCATTGTTTATCCAAACACCTTGTGATTTTTTTGAAGTATAGACTGGGAGAAATTTCCTCCACCGTGTCCACAGAGCAGCCTTATTTAATGCTACAAAAATAGTCCATTTTAATAATTTGTCACAAGGCTAAATTTCTTTCCCTGTGACTCAACGGTGCAGTAAAGATTTTTTTTTAATTGGCAATTTGAGAAGTAACCGAAGTGGGGAGAGTGTCTCCATTAGTGAGGCCACATAGCAACTCTGAGAAAATTCAATTCTCATCAACACAAAACATCAGGCGACCAAATTCCAAAGTTTGCTAAAAATCGACATTTGCTTGTGCCATACCAGCCCTTAAGATTTTAACTTCGATCTTCAATAACCAGAATATTAAGCTGGAATAAAACATTTAAGGAATAAAGCATGCATCAGCTTTTATAAATGAAATAAGGCATTACATCCTGCACAATTACGATGGCACAGACTGATTATTTTTAGTCAGCTGGGTGTCTACAACATGCAGAAATGTATCATTCTGCTTTAGATTATCCAAGCCAGACTGAGAGTGTCCCTGTACACAACAACAACAGCAATTTTCATTTATATAGCACCCTTCACAAGGATAGCATATTGCAGTGGGGTTGGACCTGTGCAAGGGAGAAGGGAGAGGTGACCACAGGTGCCTTACCATGTCTTCGAGACATCTCAAAGTGCTTCACAGAATATATCGTAAAGTGAATTGACTATATTTTATGCGCAAAAGCAGCAGCCGATTGCGCACAGCAGTGTCTCACAAACAGTCATGGGAGTTACAGTGGGAGTTAATGAGATAAAGAGGGAGTGAGGTGGATGGATTGAGGTAGGGTGTTCCAGAGTTGAGGCTGAAGGCACGGGTCATTGGTGTAGGCATGGGGAGGTCAGCAGACCTGTGTTAGCAGAATAAAGGTGGGTGGCAGAGGAATGTGGTACATGCAGGTCAGAGAAGTAGGGAGATGCTAGGGCAAATATATGTCATTGACACATAGACATTTTCCTGTGTCTTGAAAGGAATACACACTTTCTCTCTCTCTTTCTCTGGAGAGAATGCCCACACTTGCAAATCGAATTCCAGAGAGTGTAAGGGCCAAGGCTTGAGAACCCCGGAGTTTGCATTGAGACACTACTGGAGTTCAACCAACTAAAACTGCATACCTGCCCTTGAGTGCATTATCTGCTTGCTAGGAACTCAGGCTTGCAGGGCAAACATGAAATGAGTGGGAATAATTCTTGCCCAGAGTGCATAGGCTGGAAAAGAAATTTCCTAACAGAATTATTTTCGCCTATCTCCCCTCCACCCTCATGGACATGCCATACTTATATTGATACCATAAGTGTCAGTTGTTTATTCTATTCTTCAGGTTTTTGTCTGAGTACTGTGAAACTGGTGCTGAGAGATTTAAATAACTACTCAGAAAATGAACTAGCTTACAATTCATTCACCCTCTCTCCCTTTTGCACAGCCTCCTTTCTGCACTGTCTCCAACACTAACAGTTGGAATCAGTGTTGTC